ATTTAGAAACAATATCAACACACATGGCATTGGGCAAGAACTGATTTTGATGGCACCATTAGTTCCAAGGCTGCTGAAAGAGTTTTTTTATGGCAGATTTTGCCATTGCTTAATAACACTTCAGACATCTGACCTATTGAATGCTGTGTCCTGATGTTACTCTAATCAAAACATGTTGGCCGCATGAATATTTGTGAAACATACAGATGACAGTTTCACTGTATGCATTCAGGATAAACTATCTCTTCAAATGAATGACATCAATGTAATCTCTCTGAATTCAGTAAACTATAAGTCATGTCAGCTAGGTTCCACTAACTTTACAACACTGTAAGACCCTAATCAATCTCACAGTCATGTTTTTAATCCCAAATGTTTAACCTTGCCCATTTACAATGTCATGCCTTGAAATTCACATAGCAATATAGACACATTTTCTTTCTTGAAAATTGATCTTAGTAGTTTTTGCACTTGCTGACTAATAAAGAATGTTGCGGTTCAAACAATTTCACCCATTTTGCATATGAAATATTATTTGCTTGAGCATATTAAATCTAAGATAATGTAATATCTGCTTTCACTAAAATTTAGAAAAGTTTAAATCATCTGTTCAGATCATTATTGATACCACATCGATACTTCTCAAATAACTTGGGGAAAAATTACATTGACCAAAAAATAAGGTTACATTAACAAAATAAGATGCAAAGAAGTGCAACTTAAAAACATAGTCCTTAAGATAACAGGGAAAATGAGGCATCTGTGGCTATTGGGACAGAAATGGGATCTTTGGCAAGTGTATGCAGTTATTATGGTGCATTAGTTGGGTAAGCAGAAAAACTGCTCCATGGAGCTGGAGTGTCAGAGGTATAGCAGTTTTTCCCCCCATTTGAAAATACTACTTTCCTAGGTCTGCCTTACAAAAATCTACTATGCTCATGGACATTCTCACAGTACAAAGCATGACATCTTCCAGGGATGCCTAAAGGTGGGGTCCCAAAAAAGTCAAGATGGCCACCATGACAACATGAATAAAGACCACTCCATTTTGGGGCAGGATTTGGATTATGTTGTCATGGCAGCCATTTATACTCCTGTACACTTCTGCTAGTTCCATTGTAGAACATATGTTTTTCTCCACTGAAGGGCAAAAATAAACTATAATCAAGCAATATTTTAAAAATTATTTCTGTCAACAAAACCAAAGGAGCATGTTGCATGGTGGTGGGTTTATTAAATATAATACAGTTATTGATTTAATCTGAAATTTCAGCAAATTGGTCAAATTGTCTTGTTTCTTTCCCATAAAGTTTGTAAAACAAGCATATATACCTGTTGACTTATTTCATAAACTATAGTACTAATGCAGCAATAGCAGCAGTCAGAAGTTTGTTTCCCAGTGCTAAAGGATGTTGCCTCGCATATTCATGCTGATGGGAAGAAGGCTAATGAGAAAAGGAGTGATTGTGACAAGCAATTATGTCACCTATATGAATGGCTTAATTTGCTAAATTAGCCACTTTGATAATTATGACATCTCATTTGTCTTTAATTCCATGAGCTCCGAAGTTTACCTTTGATTTTGTGCCTCCTCAGTCAGGTAAGAGCCTTTGATAAGCCAAGGGTCTATTATGTGACTAGGAGAAGATGAAGAAAGCGGGGGCAGAACCCCCCTGAATTTCAGTCTGATTCTGTCTGCTCATCTGCTTGAGCCAGAGCAAATAACACTCTTGACAAGTGCTCTCCAAACAGGGTTTTCACTCCTTCTGTGCACACTAACTATCCAAAACAAGAGGAGAGAAGTTTGCTAAGCAAATTAATAATGTAAACAAGACTGTGAGGGGGGAACTGTCTCGCCTGCTTAAGAGTGAAGGCAAACAAACTGAGCTGAAGGACTTTTCAAGCCATTTTCAACAGCCTTCAGCATGCAGACAATTAGCATGTTAATTACATTCGCCTTTTACTCAATTAAAGCATTTCTAGGATTCACACAGCATCAATGGCAATCTGCCTTGTTTTAATTATTTTGACTTGGTTTGTATTTATTATATCTGGAACACACGTACAGAGTTAGATCTAACTATTAAGAAAAAGGAGGGACAGGGGAAGGTAATTTCCTTGACAAACATTTCATATCTGAAGTAGCAATGTTTGTTTGTTTTTTTAAATGACCCTTCAATGCGTAAGCAAAGAATCTTGAGTAAAAGAACACGGGAAGTCAAAAAGTTACTTCATAAATAAAACTGAATGCTGAAAAATAACAAGCCAGTTTGATTGCTAGTTTGTGGATTTTAATTCAGCCTTAGACATGAAAGCTGGTTGTGTGAGCTTGGGCCAGTTACTCTCTCTCAAGTACTCTCACAGGGCTGTTGTGGGGAAAATAGAAGGAGGAGAGTATTATGTATGTCTGTGGATCAGGGAAAACTAAATCTGCTGCATTTCCTGGGAAAAATATGAAGGTTTTCATACTCCCCCCATCCCCACCCTCACCCACCCCGTACCCTGCACCCTGCCAAGATAATGAACATGGTAAGAGTTTCCTTCTCTTCTTTACCAATGCTCAGAATGTTTCAATGAATTTATTTTTGTGAATGATTGCTATCCTCAGCAGTGTCATACTTTTATAATTATATTTCTTTTTGCATTTCACCTAATAAAATCAGTTCTAGAGCAATGGAAATTCCTGTCCCAAATCTCTGTTATTTTCTGCAATGAGTTGAACTGAGTTACTCTTTTGGAAAGAATGATGGAGAGAGTGGGAAGACTTAGGGCACTTAAAATAAACAACACAGTTCCATTCCATTTGAAAAACTAAAGTATTGAGATTGGGCAAAACGATGAACATATTTTAAAAATATGCTAAAAATTGATTTTTCTCCAAGAAGAATTTTGCATAATTGGAATAGCTGTGTGTGCTTTTATAGTTGGAATTGATCCAATAAAAACCTGGCAATGAAGAGCAAAAGAGATTATCTTCAAGAGTGTTTTAACTAAGCTTTTTTTCATTGCCCAGCTTGCTGTAGACCTCTACTTCTTTATCAAAGGCTCTGCAACTTAATAAGGCATACGATGAATCATAACACTAAACAAAAATCAATGAAATTGTGTTATCAACCTTCCCCTGCTCCTTTGTCCATTTACTAAATCATAGCGTCATTTAAAGAGATAACTAAGGAAATAAACTGAAATGTATCACAGGAGATTTTTAGAAGAAAGAAATTAATCTTAGGGGGAAAAAAACCTTGAAACAAATTCAGTTCTCAAAGCTCTGTATCTATTCAGTAGAAGTACACTGACTTTAGTATACTGAAATAAGCTTCTAAGCCATTCCTAGGAATCAGGATCAAAAGAAAAAATGAAGGAAGAGGGAATCTTATATTGTGGCTCTAGAGTACAGATATTTTATCAAATGTCTAACATAGAAAATTGTGAATAGTTCATGGATGGAATAAAGGTGAAACTTTGACCAGAAATGTTAGATATATAACCAGTTTGGTCTAATGGTTAAGGCATCAGGACAGAAATCAAGTTAACATGAGTTCCAGTCCTGCCTTGGGCATGAAAACCAGTTGGGTGATTTTGAGCCATTGATCCTCTTTTATCCCAATTCACCTCACAGCATTGTTGCTGTGGTGAAAATAGGAAGAGGAAGGCGTGTTAGGTATGTTCACCACCTTGAGTTACTTTCCAAAATAAAGGCAGGATAAAAATAAATAAAAATTAGAAACATCATAAAGGGATCAAGATGGCTGCTGATCTAATTTATGGAATTGGCATAAATGTAATTTTCTACCTCCAATATAAAGGTATCTTAATTGATATCTTAAGAAGATGAATATCAAGTTCATTATTTCTTCATCTGATAAAGAAAAAGGCGGAGCAGGAGGTTAAAAAAAATTCTCATTTGTTCTACTTGTAGTGTTTCTCAACTCTGGCAAATTTAAGGTATCTGGACTTCAAATCCCAGAATTTTCTAGCCATCCCCAGTTGAAGTCCAGGCATCTTAAAGTTGCCAAGATTGAGAAACACCATTGTACAGTGTGCAATATATTCTGCGTGTCCCAGACAAACTCATGAAGTTTACCACTTCTTTACATCAACTCTGTTGCCAATCACAGTAGTACTTCCACAGTTGAGGCATACTTAAGAATGAGTATGGCAATTGTATGTAGGCTTATTGCAGCCTTATGGGACCTTGAATTTTCATTCAATGGTTCATCATTCATGTTTTGTACTAGCCAAAAATTTACACTGGATCTTAGGCCATGAACTCTTTACAGAAATTGATCATGAGCGCTGTGGTGGCACAATGGTTAGAATGCAGTACTTGTAGGCTAAATCACTGCTCACTCCAGGAGTTCGATCCTGACTGGCTCAAGGTTGACTCAGCCTTCCATTCTTCCAAGGTTGGTAAAAAGAGGACCCAGATTGTTGGGGGCAAAAGGCTGACTCTGTAAACTGCTTAGGGCTTTAAATCACTGTGAAGCAGTATATAAGTCTAAATGCTATTGATAAATCAATAAGCCTATCAGGAATCTTGCTGACAACCTAGCAGTCGACTAAAAACCCAAATCAGTATATAAAATTTCACTTTGGTAAAATTCAAGTTCATTTTTTCTTTGTTTCATACCACCTACTATATACATTCTAATTCCATATTGTACGTTTTAGCAAGTTTTAGCAAAATAGCAGAATCAAAATGAATTTTGAATTCAGTATCAGAATGGAAGAGACTTTCTCTTGCAGGTGCTCCAACTTGAAATCCTCCAAAAGAATGGGAATACAAATTCCCTAAAGGGAATAGTGATATACTACATCTTGAAGGCTCCAAAGTTGAAGAAGACTGCACTAGTTACTTCCAATCTTTCTGCATGTTTAATCTCTGTCCTTTCTTTTCCTAAAGGGATGGATTAAACAGCTGGAGGCTCATAAGAGGCTGGATTGATTGTTGAAGGGCCCAGATGGCAAACTTGACAAAACATTGCTTACTGGCAGATGTGTAGCTGCTGTGACGATATTTATTTATTTATTTGTTTATTTGTTGCTATTCCCTCAGCTGATACCTTCACAAAGAACTTCCTGGCTATGTTCCATTTGAATAACCTTGTCACGTAACAGGGTCTCTTTTTAGTTTCAAAGTACATTGCATACTTATCATCATAACAAAGAAATTGCCAAGCACTATTTAGTTTGGATCTGATGAAAAAATTTAGGTTGTCGTGTCTTCATATAATGTTTTCATTGAAGTGCTTCACCAAAAGTTTTGTTCCATAGGTTAGTCTGCCATGATGCTTGATGTATTTATTCAAATCTGATTAAATAAGACAGTCACAAAAAGTGAGGCAACCTTCAAGGTATTCAAACTCTGAAAAAACAAATATAAGAATTTAAAAATAACAAATTCTAATTTGTTACATATAATTCAGCAGTGGAATCACTATGAAAATATAGAAGTATAAACAAAAATTGCAGTTCTGTGTTGAAAATTCATTGTAAAAGTAATTGATTGTTATACTGAACAGTTATCACTGAGTGAAAATTTCCAATTGAGTACAAACTAAAGGAACCTATAAACTAGAGATGGGGAAATGAAATCCTATTATATTTATAATAAAATGTTAGATATGATTTAGGATGCAAAAATTATGGGTTAGAGAGATTTAGGAGGAGGCCAAGCCTCTTTTATAAAATGAAATCTTTTTTAGATAACATTCATTTTTGTTGCCTGGCTCCCTTTTGTGCTCCAAAGAACTGCTAATAGAGCAGAGAAATATGCCAATGAAAGAATCAGTAAAGGGACAGAAGAAGGCGACTTACACAAGTTTAGTGTTTAGACTGAGGAGCCCAGAATATCAGTACCAATTTACATCTTGTTGAAGATAATCATTTCCAATACTTCGACTATAATGGAAGCTCCAACTAAAGAAAACAAAACAATTTTCTTTTTAGTGGGGTTCAAGAGAGCTGGATTCAATCAGCCTCCTATATATTTTGTATATTTTGTGACTTCAGTCAGTCTTGATTTCCTCATGATTGTTGAACAAATCCCTGAGATTTTCTTGGCTAGATGTCAGAAATGGCTTGCCACTGCTTCCTAGGACTGAGAGACTATGAGTGGTCCAAGATCACCTAGCTTCATTCATACCTAAATCAGGGTTAGGCATGATCTAGCCTAGCGTGCTTCTAGGCTGATGCCTTAACAACAGCACAGAACTGGCTTTCAATCAGCCCCTAACATTAGTTAAATTAGGGTTTAGCCATTTTGACTATTGGCTTTGGGCTTTTTATGAGAAATGGAGTAACTGCATTGAAATGAATAGTGCTTTGTTAGATGGATATGATGGTGCCTTGCCTGATACACTGATGACATTATCAGTGATGTCACTGACAGAACTTAGCACACCAACAATCCTCTCTTCAATATGGTGCAGTTTCCATAGCAACTCTTTCCCTTTCTTTTCCAGTCTTCCACTGTCCTTTGGAAAGAATAGGATACAGTTCAGTTAGCCACAGAAAATCTACATCCCATGGATCTTCTTTGAGGGTGTCTTAATCTGGATACTGTTATTTAATCTAGGTATCTTAAATATATGGAAGGGTTTGATAATTTCTGCAAATATCATGCAGGTATCATTTTAGCTGTGACAATCTTTCCTGAATAAAAGAAGAGATAATTCCTATTTTAAGGTAGCATTTTATCATTTTTTAAAAAAACAATCATTTAGATAATTAAATATTGTAGCCTTATAAAAATAGGAACAAAGGTACGCCTAAATTATTTTTATAGTAGGCTTATGACTGAAGTGATGTAATCCTAGAGATATTACTGTCATATTTTTTAAAAGGGTTTTTTTCATATTCAAATTGTGTCTGCAATTGACAAGGCTTCACATATTTGTTTTCTTTATAAATCAATTAGGTTTTATTCATTTTCATTCGTTCCTTTTGTAAATAGTTCATTTTACTTTCTTTTTTAGTAAAATATGAATTACAACTATTTATCCTTCCTAAAAAAAGGAGGAGAACTAGCTTTCCAGAATAATTATTGTGTGTCTGTATTTGCACATGAGTAGCACTGAAAAGAAAGAATTGCTTATTTCCATTATGTTCGTGGCAGCTTTCTAGTTTGTGACTGTGAGACTATCAAAGTTAAGTATCTGTAAACATGTACAGACCATTTTCTCATTTTGTTTTATAGTTTATCAACAATCTTGTCATTAAAGAACAAGTAAGAGAGAACTAGTGAATATCTGTGCCACTGAATAGGCTGCAGTTGAGATAAATGTTGGTAGATTATAGAATAATATTGAGGTTCAAAAGAATTGTTCACAGTTAGTAACCCCTCTTCCAAATATATATTTGATATATGATGGTCCATTGGATTGCAATTCTGTTGAATGAAAAAAACTGTGCTGACAAGATATTTATCAGATTTCAAGACTACTCTGTTTCATCATCTATATTTATCCATTTCAGATGTCTTAGGTAGCGTTTGTGAAAATATTTTGAACTGTTCTCATTTCTTGACCTTGAAGATGTAATTAGAGAATCCAATTTAAATCAATTGTTTTGTTTGACTGATGGTTTGGATTTTTTTTCCCAACCATCTGACAGTAAATGTCACATAAATTTTATACTCATAGTATAATTTCATTGGTCTAAGTTATTGTGGCTTGTTAATATCTATACACTGGGACTCTACATTTGTAAAATGTATTACAAATGTAGGAAAGATCTGTTCTATTCTAAATTGCCTTTGTTACTGAAGTCCATACTACCAATTTTATATTTAATTCTGAACAAGTGGGAAAATAATATTAAAAAGTCATATTCTAAACCCAACTCAATCTTTCTTTCTTTTTAGAATTTCATAACTCTCACTTTAGTTGCTTATAAAGACATGATTTCATGAGAAAGGGTTTGGCATCCCATGTTTTCATGAAACTCACTTGAGTGACTGATAGAGCAATGAATAGTAGACCAGGTATTGCCAAGTTATTAACAATGCTGATGAGGCTGTCATGCATGTCGTACAAAGGAGAAAACAAAAGAAAAATGCTGGCACCCTAACTGCTGAAATATCAGTTTAGTTAAAGGTTTCATGACAAACCATTTGTCTTTTACCCCCTTATACCATGGCCCTGCCAAATATGTTCAGATGTCTGCCAAAATGAAAATGTGGCAGAAAATGCAGCGACTTTTATACATGTCATTTGCAGAGTGGAGATGTGCCTGTTACAGTAGATATGGACCTTTTTTCTGTGCTTTTAAAAATAAAATCATAGAAGCTATTTCTATAGTATTAGTTGTAGCAACAGCAGCATTTTGCTTCTTCAGTATAAGAAAAAAATGATTAATTGGATATAGTTCCTTATTTACCATAGTCAACTGTTTCCCTGAGCTTACGTGGCATTGTTGTTCTTTGTTTATTTCCACATTTTGGCCACTTTGCTCAAGCTCCCAGCTATGATATGTATTTAAAATATTTACTGTAACTCTCTTCAACTACCTAGAAATTCCTTCGATGATTTAAAATGAATGTTCTGAAATATGGTCCCATAAAGGGCAGATAAATAAAATAGTGTGCATTTATTTTGGTGATAGTTCCAATATTTTTATATCTCCATTCCAATAATAAGAGGTAGTGTATGTAAGAAAAGATGAAATAAAATTGTATTACTGTTCTTCTTAGAAGTCATTCTATAGGGCTTGTACCTCTGAAGTGAAGGCATGTTGCCTTCATACCAGCAACTGGCATAACGCAAGCAGAAATCAGGACAGCTATGCCTTTTCCAAAGGTTGTAGATGGCTATATGGCTGATATCCTATAAATCCAGCTGTTGTTAAAAGACAGAAAAAGAATCATTGCAAAGGATGAACAGAGAATTATTTGTACACTGTGCCCGTTCAAAAATACCTGGTAGGCTAATAAGTGTGTGTCATAGATATTGATTAAAATGGGCAGATAAAATAAAAGCTGGTTCCTGCTTACTCTTTTAGAAATAGTGTTTAATTACCCAATGAATTCTAGTCTTTGTGTTTACTTTTATCAAGGAAAATCTCCACTGGGAAAGCTCCAGGGGTGAAATGCTACCGGTTCGGACCGGTTCAGTCAAACTGGTAACGATGGCAGCGTGCACTTCCAAACCGGTAGGGAAGGTAAATAGATTTCACCCCTGGAAAGCTCCCTGCAAAAGCAGAAGTGCTAAGCTGAAAAGGCCTTCCTTTTTTTGAGAAAGGATGAATGTCTTTACTTGAAACTTCAGTGTCATCATTGTTTTGGGGAGTTTCAAGAGTCTGCTTGGGAAAACCTGCAGTTTTTAAAGGAAGATGACCAACCTCCCCCTATTTTATAAGTATTTTGACACACTAGAATCAGAGCTTATTATCATGTAAATGGAATGTATTCTTTAAAAAGTATTAGTTGATTTTTTTTTTACCATCTCTGCTGTAACCAAAACAGATTATCTAGATTTGCCAGATGCTCAGCATTTAATGGCAGGTATTTATTTTAACAGTTCACCTACTATACTCATGTGCAATTGAACATATCTCCCATCTACTGTTCGTGCCAACTCTGTCTCCAGCAATTATCCTGCTCTAGGACTGCACTGCTGACACTTGCCAACACAGTAAAATTTGCAGGTGGAAGCTATAAAGCGTTGCTTCTTATGCATCTCTCTATAAGACACCCTATAGTGGTAACTGAATGTGATGGGCTCTAATATTGTTTGTAGTAAAGGCCATGGCAAACGCATGGAAGAAGGGCTGTTTCCATTTCCCATTGATCCAGATGACTGGCTGCACGTGTTTCATTTATATTGCTTTGTGTAAGGAATGGACAACAGTGGTGCCACATACAAATATTGATTTCAACACATCCAATAAGATTAAGATTATTTTTAAAACAATCTTTTAAGTGCTGTCCAGGTGTATCAGACTACAGTACCCAGAATTCCAAGGTAACATCAATTAAGCTTAACTCAGAGCCATGGTTACATGGGAGAGTGGAGGAGGATTGGTCAAACCCTCAGAATAGTATAGTAACACAGTATATATTGCTTTGAAATTCAAAAGATTAAATGGTTATAGATTTCCCCCCACATGTTGACTGTTAATTAAATATAATACTGTCACCCTATCTTCATAATTAATTGTACCATGGAAGAACCATGGTAGCACAGTGGTTAGAATGCAATACCACAGGCTAACTCTGCTCACATCCAGGAATTTGATCCTCACTGGTTCAAGGTTGACTCAGCCTTCCATCCTTCTGAGGGCAGTAAAATGAGGACCCAGATTGTTGGGGGCAATATGCTGATTTTGTAAACCATTCAGAGAGTGCTGTAAAGCACAGTGGAGCAGTAAATAAGTCTATGTGCTATTGCTATTTATACTTCTGTGAACAATTTGGGGGGAATTTCAGTCATCTTGGCAGAAAAGCAGCTGACAGACAATATGATCCCATTGCCCACCACCAAGCACATCATATCCAAAGTTTGTTTTGGGTTATTTTATCTCCAGGAATGTCTACATTTCTCTTTCCCAGCAGTATATTGGAAACCTAACAATAATTTTGAAATTGGATGCTGTAGGAATGTTTGCCGCTGGAAAAAAATAAATGGTGACTCTTTTACTCCCTGAAGCTGCATTTTCTCTGTAGCTACTGACAATTAATTCAAGTACACTAAATTGATTTGCAACTTTACAGAGAAACTTGGTCTTCTCACCTAATTCCAGTAGTGGGATTCTACTGGTTTGCACCAGTTCGGTAGAACCGGTTAAGTGGTTAAATAGTTAAGCAGTTTGGAGAATTGGTTGTTAAAAGAAATCTCCTTTTGTTTTTTTCCACTTTACAGGGTTATGGCCAGGTGGTCATGTGGCATTGCTTCTTTGTCCTAATGACAGTTTGCTGCAATGGTTATAAGTGTGAAAAACAGTCATAAGTCACTTTTTCCAGTGCCATTGTAACTGTTGTAAGTCAAGGATTTCCCTACCATTCTGTGGGCATGGCTTAATTGGTGGGTGTGACTTGATGGTCAGGTGACCCGGTGGGCATGGCTTGGTGGTCAGGTGACCAGGTGGGCATGGCCAATAATAATAAATAATAAAAATAATAAACAAAGTACACAAAACAATAAGCGGTACCAAAAACCAACTTTTATACTTTACACACACACAACACAACACAACACAACTGACTCACACACAATGTAAAAGCAGCTGCATTTCGCCCAAAATGGCCCCTGCAACAAACAGGAACCTCACACAGCCACAAAAAGCTCAAAAACCAACTTTCACACTTTTTCCACAAAATGCCACATATAGCTTTGTGAGATTTTGTGTGTTTGTGTAATTAGAGTGAAACACTACAGAAACACACCAAATCTCAGAAAGCTGCACAAATATTTTATTTTATTTTATTATTTTATTTTATTTATATTTTTAGATAAAAGCAGTTAAATTTAAATCTTCCTTAACTTTAAATTGCTATGTCTAAAAAATAAAACTCCTAAAAAAAAAACCCCAATTAACTATATTTTTTAAAGCTCCCAAAAAAGAAAAAAAACCCCAGTTACTTATCAAATTATCTTATCAAAAGAGCCTTGGTACTACAGTGGTTTAAAGCACCCTGTTATTAACACAGCTGCCTGCAATTTACTGCTGGTTCGAATCTCTCCAAGGCT